ATTTCCAATCTACCACGTCTACAGTTCCCCATGACTATATCGCACAACAATAAAATTTATGTACAAGCATATGTATGTATAAACAGACGTAAATACTCGTACTCAAAGTATGAGTACGTCGTAGTCGTGTCTACATGAGCACATTCATGATTGCATATATGTACATATAACACATACTAGCTCGTTCGTAGTATGTACATATGTATGTACTAAGTATGTATTCGTATCTACGTCGCATAAACGTTGCTAGTAAGTCCAAAGTTGTTTGCCTTTACTTTATACTTATTGAGCATGTTCAATTTCATTAAAGCGATTTCCTCTTTCTTTTCTGACAGCGTACGCTTTTGCCGTAGTTGAAGTCGGCTATAGTGACTTCATGACTTGAGCAAAATACATATGTATGTATATTAATTGACGCAAATGACTCTTTTAAAAAGTTCTTAAGTCACAGTTTTCAGGTCAAAAGAAGAAAAAATTCAAACCTTCTACTTTTGAGGGTCATTTAAGAGATCAAGGTAGATGTCTATCTACATATGTATGCATAAATGTATTTATATAATACCCGAAGCTATCTTTTGTCCAGATCATCAGATTTGCACCGCGTTCGTTCGATTCTCAAAAATGAGGTGTGAAATCAAAGCGCTTGGCCTGTGGCCTATTTCATAAAAGTGACAGGGACGACAATTGTCGATTTGCCCTAGTAGTGCCTCAAAAAAAAAAAAATTTGGATGAAAAATCAACCTTCGAAAGAAATCAATATTTTGCTGGCAAAAAAAATTTGGTTTTTGGTTTTATGAACTTTTCTTGTAGACTTTCGACAGAGGAATTCAAATTTATTTTCAAAAGTTTACTAAGAAATCTTTTAGGTGCTAGTTTTTCAATTTGCAAAGCTGCATCTAAATTTTCAATTTAATCGCATTTTTGAGTAAGCAGTTTTGTAGCCCATTAAATTCTAGTTATATAAAGTTCGAATTTTTAGTTGTTAAAAAATGGCGTTGATTTTTGGCAATTTTTCTAACGCATTTCCTTTCATTCAAATGTTTCTATGCAACTCCATGACTTTTCGCCTAGTAATAATCGTTCTTTCGGGCCAATTACTTCTTCGGCAGCGGCACTTAGTGAGCGCAAGATGTGGTTCCAATACTTTCATATGTGTGTACATCAGATTGTTGAATTATGAATTATTTTATGCTGAAACCTTATGTTTCAGGTGAAATCGAACAACATTAGTCTGTTGTTCAGTTTAGTTGGACAAAAGATGCATCTTTGACAACGGGGCGTTGAGGTCGCCAAGCGAATTTTTTATGTCGTGGCTGAAAAAGCGCTCGAAAGCGAACTCTAAAAGTTTTTTAAATTGTTCGTGCCTTTATTCTCCTTCATTGGCGTGCGGACGCAAAACATCGAGATGTATAAGAATCTTCCTTTGGTTTTGGTTGCGAGGCGCTCGTCCACTATGGTGAACGACAGTACTCGGCTACAGAGTCTCTCTTCCACCATGAATCTAACGCCGAATTCACCGTACTCTTCATGGCGGCTATAGCTGAAATCGCAAAGGTTCCAGGTAATTCTTGTCTTGCCCTTCATCAAAAGAAGGGTATCTCATACGAGACTTTGCTTAGTATTCCTTTCATTAGAAGTTTGTTTTACGTGGCGGTAATTGACAATTTTAATGAATTTACGAGGTACATGTGCAAAATAAGACAGGGAAACCCCCATGGTAGGAGTTAAGGTTTTACAATTTTCTGCTAAAAAAAACAGTGATATTATACTACTTTTTTCAGGATTACAATGATGACCTCACTGAATTTAAAATATCTCTATTAGATTTGATTTATTATAAGACAAGTAAGGACCAGTAGAGCAATTTTTATAAAGTCGAAAACTGAACAAATGATTATCCGTTCATTATTACCGTATGTAGGGCGCCACAGCCACAAGCTGCTGCCATAAAACACATACACATATTTATACATATTTGTATGTATAAACGTATATTAAACACCTCGCTTATATTTAGCATATACTTTCGTCATTGTTCACTGCTGTTGCGGATGATGACATTTCAGCATTATTCACCCAAGTGAGCGAGCCAGTCTGTGAGAATTCAAGTATAAACAGCAAATGAGTTATGTACATACATACATTCTTATGTACTCGTGTTCATATATGTATGTACATACAGTGTTGCCGAAAGCTTTCGCTGAAAGAACGCCATTTTACCCTGAAAAAATCGTCATTTCGGCCAGAAAAACCTCAAATTTTTGTTTATTGTAGTTTTTAACAAAATAAAAAATAGAAACAAAATTACATACAATACATTGCTTATGGGTTAATAAAAGTGGATTTGTAATTGTTAACGTCATTTTTAAATTACACTTTAAAACACAATTGCTTTTTACAAGCTTTTATAAATTGTTCAACTCCACTGACTTGAAGTTTTTGATGCAGTTTTAAAGTGTAATACATATAAGCATTTATTAACTAATAGATAATCTTGCCTGAACAAAATATTTCTGCTATTTTTCTGTCTCTTTCAAATCAGTGTCAACAGTGCAAATTAACGATTTGGTTACAAGTCTAGAACAAAATTTAATACAACTAAAAAAGATGTGATGTGGAGTGAAATGATATATAATTATTAAAAAGTATACGTACAATTTGAACAATTTTCTTACGTTAACCAATTCAAGCGCTGAGTAAGAAAGAATCTTTTCAATTGTAACTGGTGTTTCATGTAAAAAAAGGGAAAAAATTATATGATAAAATTTTAAATAGCACATGTATGTGCTTCAATTTTAAAGTCACCAAAAAATCATATTCGGCTACACAATGAAAAAAATTTGTAACAGTGATAGTTTTAAGAATTTCCAGTAAGTATACAGAATAAAAAAAACACACAAATGTATGAATGCATTAGTTACCTTAATATGCAAGAAAATTTCCTCAAAATCTTGGGTTTTAAATAAGCACTGAAGCTAATTTATGAATGTAGTACATTTTTCAAAATTCCTTTAGGCCCTTAGTGAGTAATCTACTGACCTTCGAATTTCCAAAGAATATTATATGTGTGTGCGCGCTTCCACTCCGCAGGGCCTGGTCAAAGCAAGATCAAAAAACAAAACAAAAATTTATAAAAAAGGTTTTTTCTTAACAGCGGTCGCCCCTCGGCAGGCAATGGCAAACCTCCGATTGTATTTCTGCCATGAAAAACAGCTTCTCATAAAAATACAACCGCCGATCGGAGTCGGCGTAAAACTGTAGGTCGCTCCCTTTTGTGTGACAACATCAAGGCGCACGCCACAAATCGGAGGAGAAGCTCGGCCAAACACTAACATATGTGTAAGCGCCAATCTATTATTATTATTTTATATGAATGTTACTTGTTTACCACTGAAATATGTATATGTTTCGAATTAGTTGGGGATTTTGTGAAATAAATTTTTAAGAAGTGGGTAATTGAGGGATTTTTTCCCCGATTTTCGTGGGGATTTTTAACGGAGAATGTCTGGCAACACGGCATGAATGCAGTACATATTTTCCCTTTGCGTGAATTTACTCACCGCAGCTGGTGGTGATACATACACATTCACCTGCAGCAACAGCAACAGCATGAGAAGCCGGAGCAGCGATGGCTGACTGCTGTATAACCACCACATCATTGTACACACAACATACATACATGGTATGTACATGCATATCACGCTATCAATAGCCAGCCATCAGTTATGTACATACATACATACATACATATGTACTCCGTCAACTGTAAAACGGAAGGTGAAGCAGGGGATTTGTATAAAATGCAAGTATGCACATACGTACATATGTATGTACAGAAGGGGATACCTGTGACTGCCTGCCTATCTGGCTAACTGTTAGCTCGCCCTCATCCGTATGGGGTGTGGTGAATAACATAACAATGGCTAACTTCCTCTCTCCATTGTGTGCTGCGTTCAGCAAAAATGCCACTGTATGCGTCTGTTGTTTCACTGGCCTTCGCATGTGTGCGCGTTGTCAGTTTATGCATGTGTGCATTCTGTCCTGGCATTGGCAATGTTGTTCAAGCAATTTCAGTTTTAGTCGAAAACGAGTGCTTGGAGACTTCACATATTGGAGGATCAAATCCACGTTGAATTTTCTACTTTGAACGTTTGAATTTTTCTGTCTCGTTCACTCTTCGTGTGCCTGTGTATAGCACAAATGCAAGTACAGACATAGATATTGTATTGTAAATTAAAGCTGAGTTATTACAAGTTCTTTTTTTTTTTAAATTAAAAACTTAAAGAGTAATAAAAATAACTAAAAGGGCGAAGAAACGAGAATTTTCTGTTACCCGAATTGTTCGAATAAATAAAAGAGTGCGTTTCCATTTTGGTGAAATAAGGCAACTGAAATTGAAATTCTTTTGAAATTTTGTGAAATTACGTTTGGTCTGGTGTTTCCTTTCGTTTTGTGGCGGCGATAGAGGAAGGACAACGACGACGAGTGAGATAATAAAAGGAAATCGAAGCATATAAGAGCGGATATTTCTTAACTCAATGCTTCGTGGTACGACGAGATTTTAAGTCTGAATAGCAAGCAGACACGGAGCGTACGTGTGTTTGTTTGTGCTATATTGTGCATGTGTAAAAAAATTTTGGGCCCTGAACCCTGAGCAAAATCTAAATTCGTGCGATAATTTAGTGTGCTAATACTTTGTGTGATTTTTTGAACGCAATTCTTAAGCGAAAGGGCCGTTAAACGCGATTTTTACCCGGCAAGAGTGCAATTTCATTTTTACATACAAGAAAAGAAGGAGGAAAGCACATATATACATAGCGTTAAAAAAAAAATTAATTTAAAAAAAATTCTGAAGCCAAAAGCAAAAAACACAACAAGCTCAATAACAAAAATAAGCTAAAGGAAAATAAACAAAAAACACAAATTACCGTACCAAGCAAAAAAAAAATCTTTAAAACAAAATCATCGAACCGGCAAAATTTTTTGTAAATATATAGCAGAGAAAATAAAACTAAAATCAACTGTGAAAAATTTTGAATTTCAAATAAAATTCTCGTATTATCAAAATAAAAGAAAGGAGTCGAGCAACTGCTAATAAAACTGTGATCAACAAAAGAGATTTTCAAGCAAAATAAAGAAACTTTCAATTGCATAAAAATCGCAGCACTAGCTGTCTCAACAACAGAAGCAAAGCAACAAAAAGGCGATCAAAGTTGGATAACCAAAAGTAAAAGTAAGTTTCAAAGGATAACGAAAAATGTCAATATAATAAATGTTACAGGAATCAAAGGACATTTGCAAGAGTCCTTGGTGCTGAAGCAAACGCAAAAGCATCCGCGTTTTCATTTCTGTTAGACGTAGAAAAAGAAAACCAAAATTGACGATTGTGACAAAAATTTCCAAATATTTTATATGTTCAAAAAAATAATATCAAAATTTCAAAAGCAGTTTTCGAAATTAAATAAATTAAATGCCTAAAAACTTCGAAAAGTGCAAGTGAAAAAAAAAACATATGCTAGACTGCAAGGCAGCAGGATATCAACCAACATACATACATATCTACCTTGTATCTGCATAACAGTGCATAGGTACCGCAGCGCAAATGGCTGCCGTGGTGAATAAAGTAAATTAGAGAAATGCATAATTTTACTCCTGTAAAACGCAAATTGAGCGTTTAGTGTTTCGCAGTAACTTGCACTTTTTTTTGCATTTCTGCTAATTACCTTATTAACTCTTGCAAATCGCTCGCCTTTGAACTTTATACAAATAAAAACAAATTCCCTTTTTTTCTCTCAAGTGCAGCTAGTTTTGCCGCCCCCCTCAAGTGTATACTGTAGTCACCACGCAGCTGCGCTGGTGAGTTTCTAGGCTTCTTTTTGTTTGTGTTTTGAGAGCGGACGCATCTGCGCGCATAGCAAAAATTATTACGTCTCTTTGTGCCCGAAAAGGTAGTGAGTGGGACAAGTGCACGTTGGCGGTGCGGTGAAAATATGTTTTAAAGGCCAGCTGTGTAATGAGGTCTTTTTTAGTTTTGGCCAAACTTAAACAAAAAATAAAAATGTATGCAAAACGCAAAAGTCCACATTTATTTTTTTCTTTCTTTAAAGAGCGACAGCGGCCATGTTTTAAAATGACATTTCGTATACAGGAAAACATTTTTTCTTTAGCATATTTTAAATGAGTTTGGTGTCTATGCTACTTTAATAGCTGACTTTTTCGCTGTCTTTTTTAATACCTACCACTTCGTTTGCTGTTTTACATAATTCCCCTTTTTCTTTGCTTGTTTTCTACAAATCTTATAATTTACAGGTACCTATGTATGTATGTATGTATGTATGTTCATACACATGCTATTTGTTGGCAAAACGTCATACTCGTCGGTATGTACTTCCTGCCTGTACACGCGCACTCATTTCTTTGTTTTTATTTGCTATACATATTTAACTTTTTTCAGCTAGCCTTGGCTAGTCGTTATCGATAGTTTTCGCTAGCGCTCGTGGGTTTACAAGTATTAAAATACATATATACATACATATGTATGTATGCATGACAGCACATTAACACAACCCCTCTGCGCTTGAATTGCGTTTCTTTTTCACGTTTCAAATTTTATAGACCTTTTGAACGAAAGCTAGTTTTTTATTTTATTTTATTATACTTCGTTTAGTAAGCGCCTTTGTTTATATTTTTTAATTTAGTAATTTTTTTTTTATTTCTTTTAATATTTAAAATTATTGCTTATTTATTGAAATATTTTAATTAATTTAAAATATTTTAAATTTTCAATTTTTATTAGATATACGGGCAGGTGCTGATATTCACTACAAAGTGAATCACAGAACCTGCCTGATACATACTTTTATTTCTATTTAATTTGCATTTGATTCCTTTTTTCATTTTATTTTTATATTGCCTGTATGTATATGTACATATTTTAAGATTCCTTTTTCAAGTTTTTTAGATTTTGTTTTTTCCTTTTTAACAATTTTTAATTTTTTTTTCTAAAAGTTTTAAAATTTTTTAACCCTTTCTTAATTATTATATTTTTTTTACTTTCTTTTAACAAATTTATTTTTAATAAAATATTTTTTTTTTTAAATACATTTTTTTATTTATTTTTTGTTTATTATTATATATATTATTATTATATTTAAAGTTTTAATCTTTTCCTCTATAAGCTTTAAAGTTTTTTTAACCCTTTCTTAATTATTATTATTTTTTTAATTTGCTTAAACAAATCTAATTTTTAATAAATTTTTTTCAATAATTTTTTTTTTGAATACATTTCTTTTATAAAATTTGTTTAAATTAAATTTTTTCTAAGTAAAATTCTTGAAAACTTCGTTTTGAGTCATTTTATGTAAAAGAGGAAAACGACATAAATTTGAAATTGCCCTAAATATCTATATTTCAATAGTAACGTCTTTTTAAGTGACTACATTTCATTAGTCTTTTAAAAAATATTTAAACAATAAAAATAAGTTGAATTTTTTGTCTATAGAATAGTATTTACAACACAAATTTAAATACTTTTAAATTTGTAATTCTATGAAGTTATATACAACTATAGAACAATTGATCACATTCTAGAATAAAATGACCCACCAGTCATAATGGAATGGCCCTTTTGTAATTTTCTGCAATTTTATTTTGTTTCACTTGTTATATTCTTGCATGTTTTTATTAAATTTTGTTTGTTTGCTTTTTTATTTATTTTAATTTTTTTTATTATATTATAAAGTTTCGAACTTGCTATACCTCCATTAATTATTCATATATTGTTTGTTTTAAGAGAGTAAATATCCCACCCTCTTCGATATTCTATTTTTTTTTTTCGCTTATTCCTTTTTGCATTGCTCTCTTATGACTGGGGATTTCAATCACACTTTCCTTTTAGTTTTCCATTTTCGCTGTTACTACTCGTAGTAAATATGTATGTATTTATGTAGGTATGTACATACTTCCATAAATAATCATAAAAATATGTTGTCCACCAACTCCCTAACTCCTATGACTCATCACCTCATCAGTTTGGTTGTTATTCTTACTTTTGTGTTTTTGTCATAGTTGTTGGTTTTTCTTTCAATTTGTGCATACCATATGCTAACGAGCACCTAAATATTAAGGGTATTCAGACTATATTCGTTAATGTCTTAATTCGGTATTCGGTGACTCTCACCATTGTCTTGGTTTTTGTAAATTACTGAATATATCATTATAAACTTAGCGAGAGGTGGCAAGTCCGATAATGTGGTAACACACGCGTTAAATGTCAGCCGATTCCTTTCTGTCACTTATTTGCTGGAATTTTCTCACGCGAAAAGAGTGCAAACATTTTATAAAAAGTTCAATAAACCTTTCTGTCGTGGAATAAATAAATGCTTATAAATAAAAGAACTTCACGTCAGCTGATGCGAAAGTAATTTTAACCAAAAAAAGAATAAGGGGCGTTCGAAGTTGAAAGTGTTACCGTGTTACCAGATAACGTATTAATACATTACCGAGGATAGTCTGAATACCCTTATTGTATTTTGTTAAGTTTGCTGGTGTGCTAGATAAGTATCAGACTGCAGCTGACGTACTTTTGTAGATTATATTGCTATGTAGTTTGCATACATTTGAACTTACATAGATGTGTACAATCCAATCTGTTTTCGTATATGCTTTGAGTACATAGTAGGTCGAAAAATATATGTATGTATGTAAGAAGTGGAAGTGACTCGCCCTGACGTTTTTTCAAAAAATCTGTAAATACTTACGAGAAAAATTTTAAATTTTTCCACGATTTATAATGCCAGTATCAGGTATCGATAAACATATTCCAAAAATTTAAGTTGCCAATTGGTAAATTTTTGCATAATATGAGAAAATTTCTTTGCAATGATATTTTGCCAATGAAAATTCCAGATTAAAAATCTCTTCTGGTATGGCACATGAAAGTTGGTTAAAATTTGACCGGGTCACTCACGTGGCAATAAAAAGTGCTTTGAAACATATTGCATTAAAAATATCTTCATTTAGCTTTCTAAATATTGATGCAGATCTCTATAGCTAACATACTTCTCTCAAAAGATTTCTTTTTAAATACAACACGATTTTCCTAGGTATTTTTGGCGGGAGCCATGAACTAATTTCTATGATTCGCTTGGGTATACTGAACATTTTTTTTGCGAGGCATCCTAATGTACTACTTATATATGTATGAATGTACATTTGTGTGTATGTTTTGGCTACTTCAGATGAGCACTTTATATCACTTGATGTATTATATGTATGTATGTATGTATGTACATATATATATGTTTTTATGACAGCTATCTGTCAAGTTAACAAATAGGGGCGTATCGTCTGGTGGCCTGACTTCTCATTTAAATTTATGTAAACGCATATACACGAGTATGTACATACTTCTCGAGTTATACATAAGTATGTATATACGTGCGTATAAATCCATATGGGCGAGTGATTTCTATTAGCTTGACATTACATATAAATATCAATTACAATATATTTATGTATACACTGTAAATTTCTTACGGAAACGGAGCATGTCAGTTCTCAAAGTAGGCGTTCGTATAAACATTCGCTAATATTTTAAAGCATATTAACGACACGATTGTCACAATTATGACCAGTTTAAAAAGGCGATTGGAGATGACTTTTTAAACCTAAACATTATTTTAATACTCTAATAAAAGATAGCGCCGCAGCAACTTAAAAAAAAATAAGCGGGGGATCCCTGTTAACGAATAGAAAAAAACTAATCTACAATTAGCGCTATTTTAGTGCCGATTTCCATTTATTACAATCCTTTAAAATCGTTATGTTACTAAATAGTTTTATTAACATACGCTTGCTGGAAATTTCGCTTAGTTAGTAGGTCCTCACTTCAATAATTCCTCACATTTTTTTGTATGTCTGTTACGTATTTAGGTCAAATAAGCATATGTATCTCTTAACTTGCCAAAACCTGTTTGAACATTCGATTATGCCGGTCCAGTTGCTGGCATAATGTAAACCTGCACCGCAAACGGGGCATTATGCCGGATCTCCATTGGGCAGTAAATGGGATAAGTCCTGCAATTAAATATATTGGCTAAAATCTACATAAAATTTCTCACATATGCCAAATTTCTTCCCTGCTATCGTTATGTAATTTTTTACTTGTTATCTTAAGCCACTCGCATATCTCGCTAACAAATATGTATGTATGTATGTATGTATGTATGTATT